CCTTGGCCCATTGATCCAACCTGTCCAGATCCCTCTGTAGAGCCTTCCCACCCTCAAGCAGATCAACACTCCCACCCAGTTTGGTGTCATCTGCAAACTTACTGAGGCTCCCAGGAGCCTGGGGAGGCTGCAGGTTCCTCCTTCCCCCTCATCTTCCTCTCTTTATCCTGCTCCATAAAAGCCACGACCGAAGAAACACCCATCCTGACCCTGACTCTTCCATCTCCTGCTTCACATGGTGTTTGTCCATCAGCTCCTCGACGCTTGGGAGAAGGAGAGGTGTCCTCCACCGTGCTCTTTGGAGAAGTTCAGGGGATCTAAAAAAGATAATAACGGGCTTTTTCTTGTTGCCTTTCCCCCCCCCCTCAGAGGCTCAGATCAGCATGATGCAGCAGCGCATCGACCGCCTGGCTCTGCTCAACCAGAAACAGGCCGCCGACCAGCAGGAGCCCAAGGAGATGGAGGAGCTGAGGGAGAAAAACGAGAGGTAATTCATCCTTTGGAGATGTCTACTCCCTCCTCCGAGGCTGCTCCTTGGCCCCACCACCTCCCCAAGCTCCGTGTCCCCAGCAATGCCCAAAACAGGATGCAGGGACCCCTCCCACCACACCAGGTTGCTCCACAGAGAGCAACCCACCTTTCTCCCACACCAGCCCCCCCCCAAAAGAAGGAACCTTCAGGGATCCCACCCCAAACCCCTCACCTTGTCCTGCAGGGCAGCGCGCAGCTCGCTCTCCAGTTGTCCCTGTTTCTCCTGCGACTGGGCCAGGGCAGAGTTGTGCTCCTCAGAAAGCTCGTTGAGGGCCTCCTGCAGCTGGACCAAGTGGCTGGCGATCTCCCGCAGCTGCCCAAGGAAGGGGGGGGAGAAAAATAATCATCCCCCCCTCCATCAGAACCCCACCATGCCCAAGGGATCTTGCTCAACTCCCTCTTCTCCCCAGCATCTGCTGGGAAACCATCTCCCATAACGTCCTCATCAGGAAAGTGAGGAAGCGTGGGCCAGGTGGAGTCATCTAGGCTGGATGGGACCTTCAAGGTCATCTAGGCCAACCATCAACTCAACTCTGACCCCAAAAAAATAAACCCCACGTCCCCCAGGACCATGTCAACTCGTCTTTTGAAGACCTCCAGGGATGGTGTCTCAACCCCCTTCCCTGAGCAGCCCATAGGGGCAGGGAGGAGGACTGAGGGCTGTGTGACAGCACCCAGAGGGCTGTAATTCATGGAGGTCTCCTCATCCCTCCAACCATCTCCCCATCCCTCCAACCATCCATCCCTCTCCTCATCCCTCCATCAGGAGTGAGGGCTGGCTGTGGGACAGCACCCAGAGGGTTGTAATTCATGGAGCAGGGGCGAGTTGGAGACCTGTCACCAGTGGTGGCCTCCAGGAGTCAACACTTGGTCCAGTTTTGTTTAACGTAGAACCACAGAATGGTTTCACCACCCTCCCACCAAACAAGACCAAACCCTGCCAAGGGGGGGCTGGGAGGGGCCAGGGGGACAAGTGGCCACCAGGAGACATCGGCCACCCCAAATGAGAAAACACAGCACCGCAGAATGAGAGAATCACAGGATGGGTTGGGTGGGAGGGGACCTTCAAGATCATCCAGGGCCACCTCCCACCAGCCCAGGTTGCTCCAAGCCCCCTCCAACCTGGCCTTGAACCCCTCCAGGGATGGGGCA